AGAAAACCCCTGGAGGCATAGACAATCAATCACTTTTTTGCTTTGTTTGAGAGCTCCCTCAGAAAAGGTAAGGGGCTGGCCCCTTCGAGCCTCAGCCCAAACCCCCCATTTGCTTGCTTCAGCAGCTCTGGTTTTGCGGTTCATGCTCTTTTTGGAGGATGGGCAAGGTGTCTCAGAGGGAGAAATCCTAGAGGTCCTCTGAAAGCAGAGAATGTAAGCCCCCTAAGAATAGAATGGAAGCTCTTTGACTGAAGAGACTGTTTTTGTCCCTCCATCTCCAGTGCCTGACACGTAGTAGGCACTTAATAGATGCTAATCCAGTGAAACGGGTGGCCCCTCTCTTCTTCTCTCCAGAGGGGAGAGAGCTGGGGTAAAGGCTTTCCCTGCATCTAGGGATTAAGGACCCAAAATTTCCTATCACCCCCCCTCCCAAAAAAAACCCCACCCTCTCTCATGGGCTCCCACAAGACCAGCAGAGAGCTTTCTCAGAAATTCATGGAAAAAAATCTGCTTTGCTTCTCTCTTCCCTGCTGGTCAACGAGCTTCTCCGCCCCCCCCATACACATATACACTGGGGTGGGGGTGGGCATCGGGGAACTTGGGGGCCCAGAGGATGGAGGGCAGGTCAGAGCCCTATGTGGAGGGAGGGTGGAAGAGGAGCTGGAGATTCATATTCACTGGGGCTCAGCCTCCTGCTCCCAACTCTCTCCCTGTGAGTTGGAGGCATAATTGTGCTGCCTGTCACTTGTTCATAACGCTATCTGTCTCGGAGGCTGACCCCGTAACACCCGCCATTATATTGGCTCCTGTTGGGGCTGCCGAGCCTCATTACTTATACATGCAGCTCGGAGGAGCGGGCTGGGCAGGGAGGGGGGAGATGGCCCCTCTGATTAGGCAATTTTCCTGATCCAGGGCCTTTGGGGGGGGGGCTAAAGAAGCTGTTTTCCCATCTGCTCTCCCTTTTCTCCTCCCTTGCCCTGCCGCCCCTACCCAGACGCTTGGGTTTTTTCGGGGCAGAGAGGGATGGCCTCCCCCTGCTGGTAGGACAAGAAAAGGACCAAAGAGGGACCAAGAGGGCTGAAGAACCCAGGGGGTTAGAGTAGATAGGGCTCAGGCCCCAGCTGCTCCCTCAGCTGACTAAAAGAGTAAACAGAAAATGGGCAAATGCTTCCCCCTACCCCCCACCTTCAGCATATGCTCTCTGAATACCATGAATAAGAAATCCACTCCTCCCTCCTACCCCCACCGCCACCCCACCAATCTCTGAGACCATTAATCTAGGATGGATCAGCTAAAATGCCTTGCTAAGTGTCAGCCCGTGTTTTGGGCAGGGCAAACTAGGGATAGGGGACTAGAGAAGAGGGGATAGATACCCAATAGGGTCAAGCTAGGTCTCTCTACCCCTCCCCAGAAGAAGAAGAGTAAAAACCTCACTTCCCATTCCTCTCTCTATGAAGTAGTAGTTCACTTTCTAGCCACCATACCCCTCCAAGTTTCCACTAATACCCACAAACATACACATACACATGTAGGAATTTCTCTGCAGCCTGGCACCTTGGGAAACTGGAAGAGTTTGAAGAAAGCCCCTGTCAGCATCATCACATTTAGAATTAGGACCCAGGAGGCCTGAATCCCAGAGTGTTGCTGAATCTTGTAAGTTTTTTCCTGACATGGTGCCTACTCAGATTACATCACAATCCCCAAAAGTACACACAATCCTTTTCATTCCCTTAAAAGATGATAAATCATAAAAGGGGAGAGGTGAGGGAGGAAAGGAGGAAGGCACCTTAAACTTGGCTCTTATGTATTTTTCAGTATTGAGTATAAATTAATGGATTTTCCTTTAACATGTCAGAGCAGGAATGGACCTTAGAGGTCTTATTTTCCCTCATTTTGCGAATAGAGAAAGTGAGGCCCAAAGAGGGAAAATGTTTTGTTAAAGGTCACATAGCCAATTGGAGACAGTCAGGACTTGAAATCATGATGTCTGTCACCTAGTGCAGTGCTCTTCCTATTATCTAACGTCACAAAGTCAGCATTTTGGGGCCCAAACAGAAAGGAAAAAAAAACACCCCCAAACTGAAAACCTTATTCCACCAGAGTCCACAAGAGGGGGATAAAGCCAATAGCTTGAACTAGGACTAAAGAGAGAAAGCAGAGAGGGATGAATGAATGAATGTGAATGAATGAATGAACCTGACTAGGAGTCCCTAGAAGGGAATCTTTAGTGCTTCAAAACTGTGCGAAGCTGAAACACATGATCCAGAACTGTGAGAAGGCTCAATTCTACATAATTTCCCCCTGAAATTTCCCCAAATTTGGTTATGTCCTTAAACCCTCTGGTGCGCTGATAGGCAGTAGGTGATATGAAGCAAAAGGGGTCCCACCAGATAAGGCAGAGAAAGGGAGGGAAAGGCCAAGATGCAAGCACCTGATCTTTTGACTGATAAATTCCTGCCCCAGCCTTCTTCTATCCCCAAATGATAGCTTCAAAGAAGGAAGCAAAGACCAGTGGACCAGCCATACATCATCACACACACCCAAAAGGACACAACCTTAACACATTCACACAGATTCATTCAACTCCACTCCACCATAAGCATTCACATCCACATCCCAACTCACACTTCCTCGGAGTGACATACATTCATAGTCTCCCTCTGTTCCCCTAACTCTTTTGCTCGAATTGTGAGTATCATTGGGAGTGATGGGAGGTGATGGAGGACTTCTTACCTACAACCTAAATGTAGTAAAATGAAACAAAAAACCTCAAAGGAAAATTGAAGACATCCAGTTCGTTGTCCTTCCCTGGCTCCCAGACAGAAACACAGATAAGCTCTCAGCTGTGTGGGGCTTTACCACCCCTGCTCCAGTATTCATGTTTCTTTTCTACTAACCTAGGTTCCCAAGGGGGCAATCCTTCTAGGCAGCAGGGAAACTTGCTATTCCCTCAGTTGGAAAATCCATCACCCTTATTCATGTCTTTGCATGGACTGTCTGTCCCTTTTCTCCCACCTTTTCTAATTCTTAGTTTCTTCCAAGGCTTATCTCAGGTACCACCTCTGGAAAGAGACCTTTCCTGACTCCCTCCTCCCATTATGCTCTCTCCTTGAATTAGCTCGAATTTACCTATGTTACATGTCATTTCCTTCCAGTAAACTGAAAATTCCTTGAGGTCAAAGTTCTACTTAGCTTTTGTATTTGTACCCAAAGCCCCAGGCATAGTGCCTGGTACATAATAGATACCTAATGAAAGTCGGTTGGGACTGTAAGTGGTTTGGGGGAATGAGCAGTTTAGGTATCTAGATTGCTAGGTTACCATTCCCCCAATCAAAAGATGGAAGAGCAAGATATGTCATTTGTCCTGTGGCCCCAAGTGTCCTTTGGGTGAAAGCTATTGATCAAATGAGATAATACCTGTAAAGTGCTTTGCAAACCTTATACTGCTATATAAAAATAATTATTTATTATTGTGATCAAAGCCCATTCCTGGGGAGTGATAATAATAATATGATAAGTAATACAATAATAAATTATATAGTTTATAATATGATAAATAATATAATAAATAGCAATAATTATAAATATTATTGTCATTGTATTCTTCTTCCTGTCTGATCTTGAGAGTCTGGGCAGGAGCTGGAATGGGTTTTAATAAAAAGAGAATGATAATGATAGCTCACATTGATATAAGACCTTATGGTTACAAACTATATTACATACATTATCTCTTTTTCTTATCATAAGAACCCTATTATTGAAGAAGCAGTATTGTATAGCTCATAGAGTACTGGACATGGAATCAAGCAAACCTGTATTCAAATTCTGCCTCTGGCATTTACTAGCTGTGTGATCCTGGGTAAATCACTTCAGATATCTAAACTTCAGTTACCTCTTCTTTAAGATTCTATCATAACTGTAATACCTATGTACTAGGGGGTTAAATGAAATAATCTATGTAAATTACTTTAACCACTTCATAAACACCAGCTATTACCATCATAGGGCAGCTAGGTGGCACAGTGGATAGAGCACCAGGCCTGGAGTCAGAAAGATTTGAGTCCAAATCTGGCCTCAGACACTTATTGGCTATCTTACCCTGGGCAAGTCACTTAACCCTGTTTGCCTCAGTTTCCTCATCTATAAAATAAGCTGAAGAAGGAAATGGCAAATCATTCCAGTATCTTTGCCAAGAAAACCCCAAATGGAGCTTGGAACAAAGACCTGGAAACAACTGAACAATAATTAAAATCATCAACATACTCATTTGTAAAAATTTTGAGAAACGTTTATCATCCCCAGGTGAGAAAACTGATCAGACTGGTGAAATGTCTTGGTCAGGGTTACACAGTTAATAAATGAGAGTCAGGACTCAAACCCAGGTCTGCTGACTAAATCTAAGGCTCTTTCCATGACCCCCCACCCCCAAATCTAAAGGTGGTAGAGTGTGGCCTCCGTCTGGGGTTCAGAGAAAGAATTATGACCCAGGATCTCCAGATCATGATTGGGGCTTGACTGATTTGAGGATTTGCAGGCTCGGATCTCACCCAAATTAGTCAGTGATGGCCATGTGACACCAGACCAACAGGTAGAAAAGAAAGAGTAAACTGTAGGTTTTCTCTCCCCAGGGCATATGATCACCATCCTCTTGAGAGTCTCCAGTCCTGGAGGGTTCCTCTTTCTAGGATTTGGACAGGGCACTCACCCTTACCCATCCAGCTCCTTGGAGGCAGCAGAAACAGTGCTGGCGGCAGCTATTGGCCCAGGCTCGAAGGCCAAGATGGCTGTTAATTAAAGTTCTGGCACCAGATCCTCTCTGCAAAGTTTGAAGCCGTTATTTTCCACTCCATCGAAGCGGGGAAAATCCGGCTGGGCTCACAGAGACGCCAAGCCGAGCCAGAGGGAGCCATCTTTCGGGATGGGGGCTGGGGGGGGCACCAGAATAAGCTTGCTTCTCCTTAGTGGCATACGTTGTGGGGGCACCCCCCCCCAACACCAGCCTGGCTGAAAAGGGAAGGGCGGTCAGAGAGGAGAGATGTCTCTTCCAACAGCTCCTGGATGGAGAGGAGAAACAGAGCATCACACAGAAGTGAACTTGGGACAAACCCCAAAGGTTTTAGGAAAGAAGGAGGAGATTCTGAAGTGTCTGTTTGGGGTCATGTCCTCTATACAAGTCATAGAATCATAGCAGGACAGATCTGGAAGGAGGTTGAGAAGGTTTAACTTTAGAAAGTTACTTTACACAGAGGAGGAAACTGAGACTGTGAAGAGAAAGGAACTTACCCAAGGTCCCACAGCCACTAAGTGGTTGAGCAGGAAGTTGGACATCAGTCTCTTGACTTGAAATCCAGGGATCTGTCCAGTATTGAGTGCTGTCTCTCTGTGTGCTAATTACAACACAAGTTTGTTATCTAGTGCTTAAGTCAACAGCTCTTCCATTCCTACCCATAAGCCTGAAGCTCCAGGTAGCAACAACTAGGCGAAGTCTAATGGGGATTTTGTTTTCCACTCCTGATGGGAAAGGGTGAGTTCTTCTGAAGCCCTGAATAGCACTGCATTCCTTCATCTGCCGTTCCTTCCTGGACTTCACCCTAGCATTCAGCATCCCCATTACACCCATTTCTCTGGCACTTAGTCCCCACTTTGGGAGTTGAGGACAGTTTAAAATGTTCTCCAGCTCAAGACTCGAGGGAAAAATACCTGCACACATTTTAAAAGTTTCCAACCTTGGGACTAAACACCACACAAGCCATGTCTTCAGTGCACCCCTTTGGTCAAGGAGTCCAGAAATTCCTGAGAAGAGATCAGTTCCTGGGGAGACTGTCTTCAGGAGGGGGAAGGGTAGAGTGTAGAGAGGAGTTCAGCAACCGCAAACTCTGGTGATTTCCCAGAGACTTGATTTCTACTCCCTGGCCTGTTTGGAGAGGGCCTCTGGGGAGGGAAGGCAGGAGAGAAGGGCATTCACCCTTCAGCCAGGAAAGGAGGCATCGCTTGAAATGGCAGAGCCCCTGTGGGCAAGATAAACAGAGGGCGGGTGGGGGAGGCAGTAGAGCAGTGCAGCTCTCTGCCTCAAATAATGTGACAAATATTTTGATGGAAGGAGACACATCTCAGTTTGTGCAACCTAAACACTTTAATGCAATAGAGAAAAGGGGAGCAACCCAAACTTAATGGGAAAAAGGAGCTGAGTGATGAGATGTGGGAGGCTGAGGGGTTTGGGAGTGGAAGGGGTAGCTAGTGTGAGATTAACCCCCTTGAATACCAAAGGGTTTCCTCACTTGTAGAAGTTCTTTTATTCAGATGTTGGGGAAACAGATCAAATAGGTCAATTCTCTCCTGGGGGGGGGGCGGGATTTCTCCACTGACAGTAAGTCAAGGGGTGGGGACGAGGGTTGTGTGCCTCAGAGGAAAATAAAGAGGAAGAGTGGTGTGGCCAGTTTCTTGCTGGAAGCCAAGCATGGAAGGAGGGTGCTGGAGGACTGGAGGTGATGGGAAATGCCTCTCTGTCTCCAGAGGGCGAACGGCCCCATGGCAGATGTGTCAGCAACCTGACTGTCAACTCAGGAGATGAGGGGGCCTCTTCTAGAGCAGCCCAGGCTCTTCCAGAAGCACTCAGGCTGGAATTAAAGCTTTCGACTAGGTGCTGAGCAGTCAGGGCACTATTGATGAAATGTTGGTTTTCACAGCCGATCAGATCCAAGTAATCCCATCTCGTTTTCCATCTCTTCCGCACTGCGAGAGCCCCGGGCTCTGGCCCGTGCTTGTCGGACTTACCCAATCCTGCCTTTATCCCTTCTTCCCCTTCCCTCCTCTCCCTTCTCTGCCCTTCCTTTTCTCTGCCTTCTTTTTTCCCACCTGTCTCATTATCCCTCCTCCGCTATCCTCCTGTCCTTTCCTTTCTCAAATACAAGAAGCGAAAGCCCTTTGAGAACCTCTAAAGCTCGGCACAAATGGAAGCGGATTGATATCATCATCATGACTATCCTCGTTGTACTCATCACTCTTTGTCCACTTCAATTCGCACTTTGTAGTGTGCCTTTCTCTTTGAGCGCTCTCTCTCTCTCTCTCTCTCTCTCTCTCTCTCTCTGTCAAGAAAGACACTTTGGTAGTCTCAATCCTTTTTTGTCTCATGATCTCCACGTCCTTTTCTGAGTCTTTATTTACTGTCTTCCTCCCTCTCGGTCACTCTATTTTCCTGTCTTTCTCCCTCTTTCCTTCTTGTTATATCTGTCTAACCCCTTCCCCTCCCCCGTTTTTAGTCTCGATTTCTCCCTTTCTCTCTCTCTTTTTTTTAATGTGTCCGTTCGTTTCTTTCCTCGTATCCCTCGTACCACCCCCTCCTCCTCAGTCCCAACCCGTTCCCCCTTTCGGGAGGCGGGTCCCAGCCTCCTGCAACCCAATTGAACCCTAGCCCCGCCTGGTACTCTGCCTCTCCTCCCGCCTGCAGAGTCCGGGGGAGCGGCCAGGGGAGCGGCCGAGGGGGCGGGGCCCGGTCGAGGGGGCGGCGGCAGCTGTAGGAAACGGGAGGCGGAGAGCGGGCGGCGGCGCTGCTCAGTTCGGGCCGCGCCGCGGGAGGGAGAAAGGGTGGGAGGAGGGAGAAGGGCTAGGCAGCGCCGTGCGCTCCGCCCGGCCCCATGCCCGGAGATCCGCAGGACGGCCCCTGAACACGGGCGCCCCATTGGTGCCCCCCCGCCCCGTTGGCACCATTGCCCCGACGGCGCGACCGGGCGGCCCGGCGCTTGCTAGGCTCCGCGCCGGGAGGAAGACGCTGCTGGCGGCCGCAGTGGGAGTGGTGATGCTGCTGGTCCTGGTCGTGCTGATCCCCGTGCTCGTCAGCTCTGGCGGCCCCGACGGCCACTATGAGATGCTGGGCACCTGCCGAATGGTGTGCGACCCCTACCCGGCTCGAGCCCCGGGCTCCACCACTGCTGCACGCCCGGACGGTGAACCCCTGAGCGAGCACAGTGGCGCACCCCCGCCCTCCACTCTGGTGCAGGGACCCCAGGGGAAGCCTGGCAGAGCCGGGAAGCCTGGACCCCCAGGACCTCCAGGAGATCCTGGCCCCCGGGGCCCTGTGGGCCCCCCTGGGGACAAAGGTGAGCCCGGGAAACCAGGTCCCCCTGGGCTCCCGGGCCCTGGGGGCAACGGTGCCATCAGCACGGCCACCTATACCACGGTGCCCCGGGTGGCCTTCTACGCGGGCCTGAAGAATCCCCACGAGGGCTACGAGATCCTCAAGTTCGATGACGTGGTCACCAACCTGGGGAACAATTACGACGCGGCCAGCGGCAAGTTCACGTGCAACATCCCTGGCACCTACTTCTTCACCTACCACGTCCTGATGCGAGGAGGGGATGGCACCAGCATGTGGGCAGATCTCTGCAAGAACGGGCAGGTGGGGACCAGGAGAGTCTGGGGCTGGGCTGGACTGGGGAGAAGGGCAGGGTCGTGAGAACAGAGAAACTTTAGCACAGGGTCACCGAGGTAGGTGGGTATCTGGGAATGGGGGGGTGGGGAAGTGACTGGGAATAGGGAGTTCGGGCTCTGGTGACACGGTGTGTAGAAAGCACTGGATTCGGAGTAAGTACCTGGGTTTAGTCTTCTTTCTGCTGCTGTGACCTTGGGCAAGTCACTTCCCTTCTCAGGGCCTCAGTTTCCTTCTCTGTATAATGAGTAGGTTGGAGTAGATGATCTCCAAATTCCCTTCCAGGTGTAAACCCTAGAATCCGAAGAGGGGAACGACAGGTGGGCACTGAGAGTAAGTGGGGAGGGCCCAAGCGAAAGAAATCCTAGAGATGGGAGAGGTGGGGAGGGGGACAATTGGAGATAGGCGGGGCCAGAGGGCCAGGACAACAGGAGTGCTAGGAGTCAGGAAACAGGAGGTACTGTGAGCTTCAGGATGGGAGGGGACAATTAGAGCAGGTGAAACAGGACCAAAGGGACTTAGGGTAGCCAGGGCACACAGGTCATTAGAGCCGAAAACCCTCCCTCCAGGGTCCTATAACCCCCCGGGGCTTTCTAGCTGACCTTTCAAGTAGAAAGATACTGGGTAAATCAGCACCCAGCCCTGTCCCCATTTCCCAGAACCTAGCAAGGTAGTCCCCGTGGGAAAAGTTTGCCTCCCAGAGACAGGGTTTGTGGGTGTCTGAGCTCTGCTGCAGTTCCTCTCTCCTCCTTATTTGCTTAGGGGGAAGGGTGGCATCCAAAAATTCTGCCCAGGAGAGTCTTTTCCCTTTTGCCCACCTACCTCGAATCCCCTGGAGCCCATAAACCTGGGATCGAACTTGGAAATACAGGAAGGAGTTGCTACTGTGGCTGCCTTCTTCACCTGGGGGGAGAAGGGAAAGAGGAAGATCTGAAATTGCAAGCTTATAATGCCACCCCCTGCCTTGTCCCAGCCCCAAACTCATTCCATAATTATTCCTTTGACCCAGCCTGGGCTGAAATGTGGCTGTCCACTGACCTGGGGGGTAAGGTGTATGATCAAGCCAAATCCTCAGATTGTGGGGGTCCTGCCTCCTGGAAAGGGCTGTCAAGCAACTGAGCAGGGGAGGAGGGGACCTTAGCCTCAGATTATTCTTTTTTTTCTAATAGCCCTTGCCTTCTCAGACTGTGCCTGCCTGAACTGAGGCTCATAAGTACAGCTAAAGGTGGAGGGGGTGGATATCAGGATAAAGCCATGGTGGTGTGTTTGTGTCCCTGCTCAGCCTTTCTTATTCTTCTTTCATCTCTGCCCTCAGCTGCTAAATTGGGCAAGCTAAGCTACCCCAGGCCCCTGTAAGGGGTTAGCCTTGATTAGAACACAATTCTGCTTATTAATCACCAATAAAAGATTCAGCAATGTCACCTTTGAAAGCTGAGCCCCGAGTTTCTCCTTTTTCCCAAAGAAAGTTTGAATTTGGAGCTTTCAGGGGTTGGGATGAAGGGCTGTGAGCTTGATCTTTCCAAGACAAGTGAGATACCTACCCTTCCCAGCCCTGCCCCATCACTGGGTGGCCTTAGAGGAGGTGCCTAATGCTAAAAATACACTAATATCACTTATGGAGAAATAATGACAGCTTATTTCCATCACCAAACAGAAAAACAGCCTTACATCCAGGCAAGGGGCATGGTCTGGGCAGAGCCTAGCAAATTAAGGCCCTACTCTTTGAGATGGCATATGGGGATGGGGGGGGGGAAGTTCAGGACCAGTGAATGACTCAGGGAAGCAGCCAGTGGGGGAGGAGAAAGTCCTACCATTTCGACGAACAGACACCTTTACTCGTGTAATCATTGCTTACAACCCTACCCACACGATCAGTCCCTAGACCCTGGCACAAACCCTGACACACACTTCTCACTCCAGTCAAGCTGTCCTTTTGTAACTGTTTATGATATTCATTCTAACTAGGTTGGGAGGGGGACCTAATGTGATGTGCTCCAAGCCAGCACCCTCTCCACCTTCTCCCTTCTAGAACAGCTCTGGATGTAGGCACTTGGGACTAGCCTCATGGAAAGATACAAGAAGAAGGCAGAGACAGGAAAAAGAGCAGAGATAGGAGAAGGGATAGGGAGTGAGGATTGGGAGAAAGCAAAGAAGAAAGGGACGAGGGGAGGAGCAGCACATTTAGGGATGAACCAATAGGGAAGAGAAATTCTTTCCTTTTCCCCCTGGGTCTCTCCCTAAGCATGAGAGAAAGGGCTTCCAGTCACTCTCCAGAAGTCTTCATTCTCCTCTGCTGGGGGTGTCATCCTGGATGCTCTGGGCAGGCCATTCATTTCTGCTATTGGCTACTTCTCATATCTCTGAGGTCCAGCCTGTATTTTTTACTTTCCATTCATGGATGCTCGAATTTCCCTCAAACCCTCCCATCTCCCTGACCACCACCCCATAGCTCTGAACTCTCAAAGGGAAGGGGTGGGTAGGTCCTTAGACCTGTAGACTTAGGTGGGGAGGCTGAGGGTAGGGGGAAAGGGAAGAAGAAAGTGTTGGTTCTGATCCCAGCCGTGTGTCAGGCAATGCAGTTATAATATAGAGGAGTTGTTGCACCACTACCTAGGTCATTTTCCAGGGGCTAATGAGAAGGCCTTTAAAACCTTGGAGTATATAAAGGAGTGTGGAGATCTGTTGGATGTGGGGCATAAAAAGGAATTTGTCACCTTCGGCTAGTATTAGTTACTAAAAGAAGAGGGATTCTAATTCAGCCACTGTGTGACCTTGGGCAGGCTGTTTCCCCTCTCTGGGCCCCAGTTTCCTCTTCTGAATAACAAATGGGTTGGACTAAATGATCTCTAAGGTCCCTTTCAGCCCAGAAATTCTGCAATACTGATTCTAGAAGGATAAATAGTTTTTTTTTCAAATAGGGAAAAGGGAAGAATTTTTAAATATGATTTTTAGAAGAGACTGAGGCAAGAGTTAGCTTAATAGAGGAAGACAACATAAAAAAGATCTGGCCTGGGGCAGCTAGGTGGTGCAGTGGATAGAGCACCGGCCCTGGATTCAGGAGGACCTGAGTTCAAATGTGACCTCAGACACATAACACTTACTAGCTATGTGACCTGGGCAAGTCACTTAACCCCACTGCCTAACCAAAAACCAAAAAAAAGATCTGGCTTCTTTCCTTTCATCGGTTCAGGAGTGTGTGTTTTGCCCCTAAAGCCCAAAGGAGGATTCCGCCATGACTGGTAACCACAGGTGAACTATGTCAGAGTCATGGTCCCAGAATCCATTTAAATAGTGTTGTTGGAAGGGAGGCAGCCCCAGAATCTCTCCAAAGCAATTGAAATTCATTTACCCTGTACTGAGGTTAGTTTACTCATAGTATTGCAGTAGAAGACTAAGAGAGGCTTCCTGAGAAGCCACTCTGTACATCTAGGCCCTTAGTGGGAACTGCCAACTAAGGGAACAGAGCGTCCACTTACGTCCATTCTCCAGTGGCTGGCTTCTTTAAAGTTCCTGCTCAAGTCCAGAGCAGGTGAATCTCAAATAAGCATGCTGACCAGTAGTGGTTTCAATAATACCACAAATGCATGAATTCAAAAATTCCTGCAAGAAATATGATTAGGCTGAGTATCTCTTTCCAGTGTTGTGTCTGTGGAGCTAACTGATCCCGCTAACATTGTTTCACCTTTTCATGGGCCTAATTCTCAACATCAAGCTTTCATTTTAGACCCAGGATAGGAAGGGACCTTAGAGGCAATCTAGCCCAACCTCTCATTTGACAGATGAAGTAACTGAGTCCCAGGGAGATTAACAGACTTGTCCAAAGTCACCCCATAGTAAGTTTCAGAGGAACTATTTGAACCTAGATCTTTTTACTCCAGAGATCTGTATACACTGCCTCCTGTTTCTCAGTTTCCCTTCCAGGGAACTGGTCAAAAGGAGGTGACCTCAGCCCTGCAAGACTTTGAGGCCAGTGGGACGGTTGCTACAAATTCCCTGTTCTCTTCTTCCATGGGAATCATGGGATCTCAGATTTGGAAGGGACCCCAGAGACCATGTAGCCCAACCCTACCTAAGCAGGAAGGGGAAGCATGAACTTGTAGTCAGGAAGCTATGAGTTCAAATCTTGCATCATACACTTATAGCTTAAATAAAACATGAATAGCTTTATGATCCTAGGCGAGTCACTTAAACCTCTTTGAGCCTCAGTTTCCTTATCTGTCAAATGGGTATTGTTTTAAGGGTCACACGTGATAGTGTATGTAAACTTTGCAAACCTTAAAGCCTTATGGAAGTGTTAAGTTTTTATTATATTCTCTACATTATCACCAACAAGTGGTCATCCAGCCTCTACTTCAACATCAGGCATCAAGTAAATGGGTCTTTTCTGTTCCCTTTCCTGATCTCCCTCATCATTTAGTAATCCCAAATCCCTTCATCCTTTCTGTCTCTGGGGTCCTGATTCTTTTTTTTTTTTAAGTGAGGCAACTGGGGTTAAGTGACTTGCCCAGAGTCACACAGCTAGGAAGTATTATGGGTCTGAGGCCAGATTTGAACTCAGGTCCTCCAACCTCAAGGCCAGTGTTCTATCCACTGTGCCACCTAGCTGCCCCTGGGGTCCTGACTCTTGAGGTTCAGTCCCCTGTCCTTTGGAATAGGACTAGAGCAGTACAATCTTGATGCCTCATTAGATAATTAGGATAATTTCAAGAACAACCATGGTAATTAATAAACAATAATCATAATAATTCTAGATGCCTGTCATATCACCAGGAGATTTCTAATGCAAGATTATCATATCATTCATTCAGCAAATATTAAAATGGACTTGGTTATTAAAAATACACTGTCTTAATAAGTTAAGGCCGGATTAATCTGAGTAATAAAAATAAATATCAGCAATGTATTAGCAGAGATAACAACATGCATACACAGTAATAAATGACACTAAGATCAGGGAGATAACACCAAAAGTTAGCTGCCTATTTCTCTGGAGTGCTCAGCATTTCCAAAACCTTTCCCCAACAATAACGCCCCTCCAAAATCCCTTATTTCTTTATCATATCAAAAATCTAAGCTGAAAGTGTCAGTGGTAAAAACAGAATCTTCTCCTCCATCTCCCAAATGCAGAAACTGAGTTTCCCCACCCTATCCTAATCATCCCCTGCGCTTAGCTCAAAAGTGATTGTGAAACCAACCAGAACTTTTTCCAGGCACAGCCTGGAATGTGTCAGGGAAAAGGGACCAGAATTTGGGTGTTTGGACACTAAATGAATGGCATGCAAATATATGCAGGTGCATTTCATTACTGACCTGCATAGAAGGCAGTCAGTTCTCTGGCAGTATTCTCTGCCCTTTAATTGGCTACCTTAGGATCATAAATTGGAAGGACAGTAGATTGGGGAGAATTAGGGAAAGGAGCAGATCAAGAGGGACCCATTCTGCTCCTTAAAGGATCAGAGATATTTCTAAGGTTATAGGCAGGAATAGTGACTAAATGCTTGCCTTGTTTCTACGAGGTTGGCACTAAGATTATCTCATTTCTCTCCACATCCTGAAGTGATTCCTGATCCTGGGATTCAGGCTCAGGGTGACCACAACTGTTCCAGGAAAAGGCAGAGCAGGAACTCTTACCCTAGGCCTCAGTTAGAATCCCCTACACCCAAACACATCTCCTATAGTCTAACACAAAGAGACATTTCATGAGAGGGAATGCAGAACAGGGAAGAGGGTGAGGGCAGCCCTTCAGAATGGACAGTGGGGAAGTGGTTACCCTTCCTTTTGTCATACCAGCACGTGAGGGTTAGGGAGCATCAGATACAAGATTTCCCCAAACTCTTGGTTCACTTTTAAGCTTAATACCTCTAGGGATAGCTAGGTGGTACAGTGGATAGAACACTGGCCCTGGAGTCAGGAGGACCTGAGTTCAAATCAGGCCTCAGACACTTGACATTTACTAGCTGTGTGACCCTGGGCAAGTCACTTAAACCCATTGCCTAGCCACCTTCCCCCCAAAAAATTATCCAAGCTTAATACTTTTATACAATGCTTCCCATATATCAGTTTCCCCTCTAGGGACCAGATCAAAAGGAGGTGACCTCAGCCCTGCTATTGATTGAGGGTAGTTGGACAGTTGCTGCAAATTCCCCATTCTGTCCCCTCTGTAGAAATCATAGAGTCTCAGAATTGGAAGAGACATCAGAAGCCATCTGGCCCAATCCTACCTAAGCAGATATAGCTTTAATACCTTCAAACCATGCCAAGACTTTGGGGACACCCTGTATTATCTCCCTTTGTCCTCACCTGCGGAGGGTAAGCAGTGTATTATCCCCATTTTACTGATGAAACAACTTGCCCACAGCCATATATCTAGTGAGTTGCACAGTTGGGACTCCAACCCAGGTTGGCTGATTCCAAGCTTAATACTCTTTTCAGTTGCTTAATTTGCCTTCAAAAACAAAGAACACAACAGACTCAGGATCCTGAGATTTAAGGTCTCAAGATGAACCAGAGAGGGAGAAAATATACTGGCATACCCATTTCCTGCACTGAGCTGCTGAGGCCTCACTCCCTTTTGTTGTCTGTTTACTTCTATCCCTGAAAGGAAGAAGGAGCCAACTCCAAAACTGGAGAATCTTAGAGGGAAGAGACCATCTGGCCATATCCCTGGCCTTGGGTTAGGTAGGGCCTGCAATGGAGGAAACTCCTCAGCCACATTCCTCAAATATGAGGTGTCCCTAAGTCTTAGTATAGTTTTAAAGCTATCTTGAAACTAGCATCCTCAATTACCCAAGCAAAAGAAGATTCTATCTGAACCCCAAAGTACAGCAATGAGTAGACCCTGACTTATTTGGGGGGGGTGGGGAGAAGGCTCCCTTACCTTCCTCTGAATTATTTCCTTCTGATAAAAGAATTGCCTTTTGTATGTGTAGTAGTGGAAAGACCACTAGACTGGGAGTCAGAAGAGCTGGGTTCTAGTACCTACCACCAACTAGTAGGTAAAACTTAGCTGTGTTATCATAAACCTTGAACCTCAGTTTCTTCATCTGTAAAATGGGAATAATAAACACATGTTCTACCACTTCACAGTTGATAGTGAAGATCAGATGAGATTCAGTGATGTAGGCAAAAAGCCCTTAGTTGACTGTAAAGCTATATATATATATATATATATATATATATATATATATATATATATATATACACATATATATGTATATGTATATGTGTATGCATATATACATATACATACATATGGAAGAAATTATTATTGAATGGGAGAAATGATTAGGAAAGGAATAAAGATGGCTTTTCAGCTACAAAAGCAGAATGCCATCCCAGTCCCCTCTTCAAGTACTTGGGACTTTGGGGGGAGGGGAGGAGAAGAGAAGAACTGTAAGTTTTTCTGGTTCCCTCCTCCTTCCCTGTAAGTAATTAGCATCTGAAGATAGAATAAAGTACAACAGAGCTAAAGAGGGCCTAGAGATGATCTGGTTCAGGGTCCTCTGTAAAATAAGGGGGGCCCATGAAACTATCTGCAAGTCTCCTCTTCTGCACCATCCCCCATCCCCACTCAACCACCCTGTCAAGTCAAAGAGGAAGATTCCATCTTAACTCTAAAGTGTAGCAAAGAGTAAACACTGGTTTGGGTTTGGGGGGGGGTTGCTTTGTTTTGTTTTGTTTTTTGAAGGCGGGAGGGGATTGTTTTCTTCCAAATTATTTCTGTCTGCACAAGTAAATGAAAAAAATATTGGAGATCAGACACCTGAAGGAGGGAAAAGAGGGGGCCATGGGGATGCTCTGCCCCTTTGTCTTCCAGAGGTGCAGCTCAACTCTACGCGGAGCTAACTGCAAGAACTGTGACATTCATTCCCCTAATTTCTCTCCCCCCATTTTCTGTCCCTCTTTCCTTCTCTGTCCTCCATTCCTTCATCCTCTGCCTTTTTTCCTTTCTCCCTTTTCTCTGTTCTCCCTTCTCTTTTCCTCTGCATCCCCCACCTCATCCCCTCTTCCTCTCCTCTGTGTTCTGTCTCTAATCTTCTGCCCCTCTCCTCTCTGTTCTCTGCCCCCTTTCCTTCCTCTCTCTTCTGTTCCTCTCCCTGTGTCTCTCCCCCGGTTTCTGTACCCGAACTCCACCTCGGCACCCAGGTCCGGGCCAGCGCCATCGCCCAGGACGCTGACCAGAACTATGACTATGCCAGCAACAGCGTGATTCTGCACCTGGATGCTGGGGACGAGGTCTTCATCAAGCTAGACGGCGGCAAGGCGCACGGCGGGAACAGTAACAAATACAGCACCTTCTCCGGCTTCATCATCTACTCCGACTGAACCCGGGCAGGGCGGGGTGAGGGCAGGGCGTCTCTCCCTCCCTTACGCCTCCCCGATCCCTTCCCACCTAAGCCACGCCCGAAAGGCAACCTCAGAGCTACCCTCACACCTGGACCAGACGGGTGGAGAGGGCGGAATGTCCCTGGTCTCTTTTTGCCTCCTTCCCCGCCCCCACCTCCCCAGCCAGACACCGAAAGGAAAGGAGGGGCTAGGGGGGTGGAGGATGGAGGCAGCCTCAGCCTGCTGTAACACCTGGAACCTTAGGGGCCACCAGGTGCGCGGCCACAGAACAGGGCCCCCGGGTAGCTCCCGCTCACAGACAGCCCCTTTGGTCCCTGGGCTGTGAAGACCTCCACCCCTTCTGCACTGTATATATGTATAATACGACTGGATATTGTCTCGGGAGTGCCGCGTACCCCTCCCAATTCTCCTAATCCCGGGGGAAGGCTGGGGAGGAGAAATTATCAGAAAGGTAAGCCTCTCCTCTACAGAGGCTCCTCCAGCTCCCTGACTCTCGCTCCGGGGAGGTTAAGGTGGGGGGTGCCCCAGACAGCCTTCCTCATCTCCCTATCCTCTTGCCCCCAGCGATACCCAAAGCCCCCGGCCCGGCTCCGCCGCGCCCCTTTTGACCAAAGCTATAATAAAAACACACACGTCCATCCCGTTGGCTCCTCCTCCCGTCGGCCCAGGGGAGGCTGAGTGAGAGAAGGGTGGAAGGGGGCGCGGTGTGGCCTTGACCCTGACCCTTGAGAGATGGAGAAGAGGTGAAGGTGAGGCCTGATACCTGAGTGACAAGCGAATTCTTTGTGAAAGCAAGAGTTTGCACCAGGTGATTTCTTCCGGCGCTGATCTATGGTTCAAATGATCTGGGCTTTGACAACAGTTTCCTCTTGAGACCCAAGATACTGGAGAGAAGCACACTACTTATTCTCCTTTACCCTGGCAGGGCTTCTAGAGATCATCTTGTCCATTCTCTGCCTTTAGACCAGAGCAAACCCATACAGATGAATGGGCCTTCTGCTCATCTTGCAGGGGTCCTATTTTTCCCCCACAACCAAAGAGAAATGTGAGTCATCCAGGGCAAAGAACTCACATGGGGAGATACACAAAGGGAGAGAGGGGTGTGGAAGTCAGTTCTTCCACCTAAAGAGATTATTTCAGTTATCAAGTCTAAGATAGAACATTTGGCCATTTAAACCCAACTCCACCATCAGCAGGTCCAGTCTGCAAGGCAGGAAAAAAAAAAGTCTGGTACAGTGGTCAATGCTATTGTCATTACTCCTCATTCTTTCTTTTAAAGAAATTACTGATGCCCTTTGGTTTCTATATCAATTCATTTCCAGATATATCCTCACCCCCCCCTTCTACCTACCCTTTCAGGAATACATACATACATGCATACATATATACACACATATGTGTGTGTTGCCAGTGTACCACACCCAGAGCCCTTCCCCTTTCTCCCACCTCTGAAATGAGGGAGGTGCATGGTGTCAACTCTTCTCTAGGGCCAAGCTTGATTATTCACACAGCATTCAGTTTCATATAAATACTCTTCTACATTCTTAATATTCCTTGTTTCTTTCACACATCATAATTTGTTTAGTCATTCTCTAATCAATGGATGCCTACTTTGTTTTCACCACTATGAAGTGCTGCAATTAATATTTTGCTATGTATAGGACCAGAAAAGTCTTAGGATATATGCCTAGAAGGGGGGACTCTCTGAGTCAAAAGGTATGGACAGTTCAGTTAATTTCTTAGCAGAACTCCAATTTACTTACTAGAATGGTTGGAACAATTCATAGTTCCACTTAGAGTGTATTAGTGTGCCTTTCTTTCCACAAGCCCTCTAACATCGACTGTTGCCATCTTTTGTCATCTTTCACAATTTTCTAGGGGTGAGAGGAAGCCTCAGGAATATTTTAAATTAGCATTTTTCTTATTTGGAGCAATCTGTCAAATGTTAATAGTTTGCAATTCATCTTTTTAGACCTGTTTATTCATATTTTTTACCACTTTTCTATTGATGAATGGCTCATCATCATCTATATTTGTGTTAATTCCTTATATATCTTGGATATCAGACCCTCACTAGAGATGTTTGATGAAAAGATTTTTTCCCCCAAATTGACAGTTTCCCTTCTTATCCTAGATGCATTGATTTTGTTCTTCAAAACTTATTGGTCATGTTTCATAAAGCCTACCAGGAGACAAAACTGACTAAATTCAGTCACAGGTTGTGAGTTTAACTGAGGACTAAAAAAAAAGAAAAAGAGATAGTTGAGTCCAATTGGCTGTAGGAAGGAGGAGGGAGAAAGGGAAGGAGAAGTAAAATACAGGAGTAGGGAAGGGTTGGTAACTATGCTGGAAGTTCTATCTTCATAATCTGGAGAGATTGGTACCCCCAGGAATGAGTCCATTTTTATCAAGATCACAGATCTCCCAGGAAGAGATTTCATTTCCAGTTCTAAAATGAAGCATAAATATACTCAATTCTCAATTATCTACCCTAAAGGTGTAGTAATAAGGTATGAATTAAAAAAACAATAACAGGCAATGGAGAATTTAGTTTTATTTGCCAGTGGAGAGAATTCATTTTTTTTTCATTTATGGATTTCTTTCTAAATCTTTTTGGTTCAGGTTAATTCTAAAATGAATTTGCATTCCCTGAGTACACTCTTAGAATGGGGATTAAGAGGGGAAGCCTTTAGCGTATGTCTTGGACAACTCAGACCTTAGGGGTCTCCTATTCAGGCCCAGAAGAGGACCTCACCCTGTGTAGGCACCCATTACAAACAAAACTGGCTCTGTCAGAGACTCCCTGTTTCTGATGAGGTTATGGCAACCCTGGAGCTGGGCATTCTTGTCTCACTTTAGGCAGAAGTCCTACGGATGCCTTTGATAGAGCTGCTCTAGGTAGCACTGAGCTTGGCAGCCAGAGGGCAGTATAGTGTGGGGGAAATGCTATATTTGGAGTCCAAGGACCTGGAATCTAATTTTAACTCTGACATCAGCTATATGATCTTTAAGGGCCTTTCCAGCTCTAAATCCTAAGACCTTTCCTCTTCATCTTACTTATTTCTTGGGAAGAAGAGTGGGAATTGGTATTATGACAGATATCACCACTGCTTAAGCCCCACAGCTTTCCAGATGAGGTTGGGAAGTTAGAATGTGGAAGACACAACTTCACTGTCACCATGCCCAATAATAATAACAACAATAGCTGGCATTTATATAGTACTTTAAGATTTGCAAAGCACTTTATAAATATTAAATTTTATCCTCACATTAACCCTGGGAGATAGGTGCTATTATTATTCCCATTTTACAGTTGAGGAAATTGATACAAACAGGTTAAATGACTCACCCAGAGTCACACAACTAGGAACTGTCTAAGGCTGGATTTGAACCCAGGCCTTCCTAACTCATGCCCCTACCCTCATCCCCGAGCCCTTTGTGCACTATGGCACCATCTAGCTGCCATATTAAAATGTATTTCTAATATTCCAAACCCAGTTTTAAAGTTATCTTTTGTTTTGATGATCTGTTCCTTATCTCCTCTAGAGAGAGAGTCATCTACCATACCACATTTCAGATGTAAGGTATGCTAATTTTTTAAAGCCCTTTTCATTATATTGGTTTATACTTCTGTACTTCGATACTGCCAATAACTGAGGTTTGGTCATGTGTATACCCTACAAATATTCCCTCCTTTGTCATTTCCTAAGGCCTTGGAGGCAGGGAATTCACATCTGTCCTCTAGCTGTTGTTTTAAAAAATCTCCCTTCTGCATTCTCTGATCTCTCCAGCCCTCTGTAATCCTGCCCAGGGATCTCAGATCTCCAGAGGCATCAAAGCCTTCACTTGTTCTTATCACCCCCCAAACGGGATATTCTGTCCACCCTACCCCTAGCACCACTCTTGGTCTTTTAGCTACCTTGGTAGAGGAAGGGGATGTGAACATATACCTGGAGCAGCAGTGTCCAGCTTTCAGGAGCCCCCATTGGCCAAAAGACAGAATATATCTTGTGCCAGTCACTTGGAACACTGTGGCAAAGGAACTTTATCCAGGGAACTTTAGCACTCCAAATTACTCATGCTCTGGCATGAACACTGAAAGAACACTGGAGGCAGGATCTTCCAGCTTTGCCCTGTCCACTTAAGAGGCCTCAGTTTTTTCCTGTCATAGAGGGCAGAAATGTTCAAGGCAAGAGGGTAGGACCAAGCCTAGGGTCCTGAGCTCTCTCTCTCTCCACCCATTTTTTTTTGGTGGCGGCAATCAGGATTAAGTGACTTGCCCAAGGTCACACAGCTAGTTAGTGTCTGAGGTCAAATTTGAACTTAGGTCTTCCTGACTCTAGGGCCGGTGCTCTATCCACTGTGCCACCTAGCTGCCCCTCCCATCCATTCTTGCCACTTAGTTTCTTTATTGAGGTCACGGGTCTAGAACTTGAAGAGATCTTAGAGGGTTATTTAAATCCAATCCCCTCTTTTCACAGGTGAGGGTATTGAGGCCCAGAGGTCAAGTGACTTGCCTTTGGTCACACAGGTAGTAAGTGACAGAGCTGGGATTTGAATTCTGGTCAGGTGACTCCAAATTATTTTTTTTAAAGGCAGTTGGGGTTAAGTGACTTGCCCAGGATCATACAGCTAGTAAGTGTCAAATGTTTGAGGCCAGATTTGAACTCAGGTCCTCCTGACTTCAGGGCCAGTGCTCTATCCACTTCAGCACTTAGCTGCCCCCAAAATCTTTTTCTACTGGGCTACCTTGCTTCCTATCCCAATTCCAACCCCATATGTCATGCTCCTTGGAGCCATTTAATAAAATTAGCTTAATCCTTTTTTTTTTCTTTTATGGATGTTAGAAATAGAAATCTGAAGGGTTCCTGCTTAATCCCATCCCCAACCCCATACCTTATTTCCCATCCAATGCTTTGCAAAAAAGTCAGGGTTCAATAAATGTTTGTTGAATTAATAGTAATAATAATAGATCACATTACTATAGTGCTTTAAAGTTTAGTTTAGTATAGTCCAATGGTCCTCAAACTTTTTGGCCTCAAGACATACTTTTAAAAATTAGTGAGGATCTCCAAGAGCTTTTGGGTTATAGTTATCAATATTTCCCATGTTAAAATTGAAATGTCTTAGTGTTATTATGCAAATAGTTTTGACCTCAAAGACTTCCTTTCAGGAGGTCCCCAAACCTCATTTTGAGAACTATTGGTGTAGGGAATTAGAGAGTACTGGATTTGGAGTCAGGAATCCCAGCCTTGCCTGTCATTAGTTGGGTACCCTAGGGCAAGTCTTTTCATAAGATTATAGAATTAGAGCTGGAAGATACTTGGAGGCCTTGGAGACCAATCCACTCATTTCACAGATGAGGAAACTGAGGCACAGAGAGGTTAAGTGACTTGTTCAGGGTCACAGAGCTAATAAATGTCTGAGGCAGGATTCAGCTGCTGGTCTTCCTGATTCAAAGTCCCCACTATGCCACCTCGTTGCCCAAGCTTAACTTTTTTTAGCCTCAAGTGAAAGTGACAGGGTTAGATTCGGTTAACTTTAGGAAACCATCTAGCTCCAATCTATGATCCCCCAAGCACAACACTCTCAGGTCAACCCTATGAAATAGATGTGCATGAAGCCTCATTACTGATCTTTGCCACATGGTCCCCACACCAAGGTCTGGGAATAGTTGAAACCTCTTTCCATCGATCAGTGGAAGATGCTGAAGAACACCTTTGAACAGCTGCAAACTGTGTGAGCTAAAGGCCCCCCAAAGGGATTGGGTTACTCTGGAGCCAGGATGACAATAGCCACACCATGATTAAGCCATGAAGACGGAACCTCAGCCATTCCAAAAAATATCTAAAGGCTTTTTATTTGGAAGCCTGCTAGGTGCAGGGGCTACATAGAAAAATAACAATAAGACTTCAGTCCCTGCCCTGAAGGAGCTTATAATCTATGGGGTGGGAGAGTGGCCACACTGTGGATAGATAAGCACATATATGTGCAAACCATGGCCCTCAAAGAATGCCAGCCTCACATAGCCTGGGACTAATCTTGGGGACTGACCCTATAAGAATTTCTCTCACTGGGTCCTTGCCCTCATCTGGAATTAATGCAGGAAAATCTCCAAGAGAAAGTTTAGGTAGAGTTTGTGTTTGGGTTCCTCCAAATGTAGGTAATTCAATGTATAATACGGGTATTGGGAATGGGACTGCCTTTATTTCACCTAACAGAAAATACATAAGGAGGTGAAAACTCACAGGGGCCTATGACCTAATAGGAAAGAGGGAAAGAAGCATTTATTATGGGCCTACTATGTACCAGATACTATGCTAAAGCTTTGGAAATATTACCACATTTGATCCTCATAACAACCCTGGGAGGTATGGGCTACCATTATTCCCATTTTACAGGTAAAGAAGCTGAGGCAGACAGAGGTTAAATGACAGAGTCACATAGCTAGTAAGAGTCTGAGGTCAGACTTGAATTCAGGTCTTCCTGACTCCAGACCCAGCATTCTATCCACTGTACCACCTAGCTGCCTCTAGAGAAACATAAAGAATTCAAATAAGGGAGGAGGATTCTCATCTCTACACTACCCCTGACTTACATTCCCCTTTCCCCTAAGGAACATATCCCTGGTGGCTGATGCTGATGTGAAACTATGTCATTATAGAGAATTTCTCTTTCCCAGAGTTCTACACAATCTCCTTAAGACTCATGATATCACCCTGTTGAAATTCTCCTAAGGAAGTTAAACATACCTCAGAGCTTGCCAAGCAAACAAGTCTCTTCTCATCAAACCTTCATGATCCAGATTATTTGCTGGTTTTGTTCTCCAAGAAGGAGGCTGCATGGGAACCAAGGGGACTGTGCTTTTCTTTCTCCAAGTAGCATGCTGTTTCAGGGAGTCTTCTCTCTCTGGAACACTTAGGAACACTCAAACTTAGGATTCCCACAAGGCAACCAAAAGTCTAATGCTGCCCAGGACCTCTCCCTTCTCTGAGTAGAAAGCTAGCTTCTGCGACCACACTGCCTAGAATCAAAACTCCTATAACACCAGAGGTCAAGGTTCAGTAACAGTCTTTGAGCAGGT